TACTGGATGAAAGAAGGTGAAGAGATTAACCAAAGAACATGTGTACATAGCCCATGGATAAGACAATAGCATGGTGAGGGCCAGAGGGAGGGGAAGATGAGATCTAGGTGGCGGTGGACAAGGAGGGGGATTATGGGGGACATCTGTAATAATATCAACAATAAATGATGTTATTTAATGATCTTATAATAAAAAAGATCAAATCATGAGACTGGGGGTGTTTGTTACTATGCATACACCAGCCTTAACTGACTGTTATACCATGTTAGCAAATCAATTATAGCAATATGCATAAAGTCTATAAGATTTGTATGAAATGGGCAGCACAGAGAAGCATGTCATGAACTATCTTTAAGAAGAAACATGCATATCTTTAATATTCCCCTTTGAAAACATCTACAGCAGTCTTGGATTTCTTGCATCTTTGACTGTATTAATTGTGACGATGCTTGAATTATAAGATAGATATGCTTTTAAGAAAAACAGCTTCTTTTTCTTTGACAACCACAACCTAATGTGATAAATTCCATAGCTTTTTTTTTTTTTTTTTTTTTTTTTTTTTTTTTTTTTTTTTTTTTTTAGAAACTTCCAGAGCACAAGAAGAAGGGACACAGAGGTCAAGTTGGGTCCCCATATTAGGGTTTGCAATTCTGTAGAAAGATGTCTGCTTTGTGTCACGTCCCTTTTTAAATGTTCAGAGTAGCAAAGGTATTTTCCTCCAATTTTTTTTAATTTTGAAAAATTTTAAACTTACAGAAAAATTGCAAGAAGAGTACCCAGTGAATACCCACAAGTCAGCAATTGTTCTCATTTTACTATTTTTCAGATACCCTGCTCTCTCCTCCTCCATCAGTTCCCCTACTATCCACCTTTGGCTGAATCTTTTAAAAGTGGCAGAGATGATGATTGTCAGTGCTAAATATTTTGACATGCACTTTTTAAAAACAAGAACATGTTCTTACTTGGCCACATAATTATCACACGCAAGAATTTTAACCTTGATACAAAATAATTATCTAATATGCACTCCCTTTTCAAATTTCCCCAGGTACTCTTGAACCTATCCTTTATTAAATTTTTTAAAGAAATAAAAAGCCAGCAGAAACCGGTTTGGCTCAGTGGTAGAGCGTTGGTCTGCGGACTGAAAGGTCCCAGGTTCGATTCCGGTCAAGGGCATGTACGTTGGTTGCGGGCGCATCCCCGGTGGGGGGTGTGCAAGAGGCAGCTGGTTGATGTTTCTCTCTCATCGATGTTTCTAGCTCTCTATCTCTCTCCCTTCCTCTCTGTAAAAAAAGAAATAAAATATATTTTAAAAAAAGAAATAAAAAGCCAAACAAAATACAGATGCTGCTGCAGACACGTTTAAAAAATCTCCTTCAAGTTAAATCCAATGCCACATACACATCAAGTACACACATTTTTTTTTTTCTGATGAATTAATTCCCTGAAACTCGCGCAGGGTAGAAAAACAGCTGGCTGGGAAGACCTGGTGGACCAATTTGTTCAACAGCCCTGGAACAAGAAAGAAAGAAAGAAGAAAGAAAGAAAGAAAGAAAGAAAGAAAGAAAGAAAGAAAGAAAGAAAGAAAGAAAGAAAGAAGAAGGAAGAAGAAGGAAGGAAGGAAGGAAGGAAGGAAGAGGAAGGAAGGAAGGAAGAGAAGGAAGGAAGGAGGAAGGAAGGAAGGAAGAAGGAGAAGGAGGAGGAAGGAGAGGAAGGGACGGGAGGGAGGAGGGAGGGATTGGGGAGGCGAGGGAGGGAGGGAGGGAAGGAAGGAAGGAAGGAAGGAAGGAAGGAAGGAAGGAAGGAAGGAAGGAAGGAAGGAAAGTGAAGAAGGGTGGAAGGGAGGGAGGGAGGGAGGAAAGAAAGAAAGAAAAGACTTAGCCACCTAAGAGGCACAGATTTTATTTTCTTAAAACACAAGAGAATCTCCCTAGAGAGGATTTCATGCTCTCCTAGCAGTTTCAAAGACATTTCTGTTTTCCAACAGATGGTGTTCTTGACACATTGCAAAGCTATGGCAAATGTTATGTGTTACTTGTGTGTTTTTTAAACCACGCACCGCACACAGTTTATTTACTTCTGATTTTGAAGGCTTTATTCCTGCCATGCAATGTTAAGTTGCATCCATAAGATGTCAGCACCTTCATTGTAACCAGAGGATCTGATTTTTTTTCTTCTTCTTCTTTTAAGAGTAGTTTTTCCGTTGGCCTCAAGGGGGTGCCAACACTCCAGGTCACCCGAGCCTACTCCAGGTGCCAGAGCTGGTGGCTCTGAGGAGAGAATGCAATGGGGTGGTAGCGATGGTGGTGGTGGTGTGTGTCTGGGTGACTTGAATATCTTTTGTCTTTACCGTCGCTTATTATTCTAGAAGGACACAGGACCTCCTGGGACCGGATTCTGCTTTCAGCTCAAGGATAACGAGGTCAGGAAAGGAAGAAATCAGCAAGAAACGAGAGCAGCCCCCCAGTCCAAAATACCCGAGCAGGTTACAGAAAAGATCGGAAATATGGTTTTTGCAAAGCCCAGGTGTGTGGAAGGTGTTGTTTTAATAACCTGAACAAACATTTCTCCCAGAGTCCTACTGAGCGGAGAAGAAACCTAATTCCAGGGGCAAAGGAAAATGTCTCTCTCACCTTTTCTGTCTTGATTATAAGGATTTCTTTCCTCCAACTCGCACCTTTTTTTTAGGGGAGGGGGAAAAGGGGAGTACTAATTTTGGCAACTCAACTTAGTTCTTTTCAGATGACATTGGTTTAAACCTGGACAGCCTGGTAAGTGCAAACTTCTGCAGAAACTGATATTTTTGAATGTGTTTTCCATGGTCCTTGGCTATTTTGGGTTTTCGCCTATCCCTGTGATAAAGCTTTTAAGAAAGCACCTCGTAAAAGCAGGGTAAATACTATTTCTCCAGGAAGCCTGCAGACCGAGGAGTGTTTCTTGACCAATAGTCAGCATTTCCAGTAAAACTGTGAGCAGCTCTGAGTGCCTGTCACGCGCTCCCCGAGAAAGGCACTTTTCGCCAGAGTACTTTAAAAAAAGAAAAAAAGATGGATGTGAACGTACTAGAGAGGTATTAAAAAATAATAAAGTCGTAGTGGGAATTGAGGGAGTGGGGTGAGAGAACTCTCAAACCACTCACCTGTGAGCTAAGGTCTGGGAAGCTTTATGTTACTTCGTTGGGGAAAAAAAAAATGAAATTAGAACAAGAACTCAGAGCAGCCATAAAAAAAAAAAAATAGAGTGTTTCAGAAGCAGGCTAGTCAAGGTAATAGGAACCTGTTCTGCACTTTCTCTTTGATTCTGGGGTTTTCACGAGATAATATCATTTGTCGATCATGCACATACATGTATTTTCTTTCGCCCTTTTATTGAAAATGAATGAGAAGCCCCTCATGCCTTCTATTCACCTCCCAAAAGCTAAGTGTGATGGTAGATTCTCGCCTTTTCCCTGGGAATCTATCTGATGAGGGTGAGGAGGGGAAAAGGAAACCTGAAACAAATGTTGTATCTGGTCTTCTTCCCCACCCAACCGGATGGACAACTTCTAGGAGAATTCTGACCAGCATTTAGCCCTTCTTGGGGGGAAGGAGGATCCCGCCCCTTCAGGGGAAGCGGGCAAAGGGGGGCCTGCGGATCCGAGGTGTTGACGGGATAAATATTCCATCCACAAATAAACAAACTTTCCAGGATTCCTAGAGAGAAGAAAACTTGGAAGGGCGAGGACCCCTACGTTCCAAGTCCTGGTCCCCAAGAACAGCTTCTCTGGGGTGGGGTGGGGGGGTGTCTGAAACCGTTTGCAATCGCTTAACTACCGCGTCCTCCCACCACGGAGCCCCGGTGCCCGAACCACCTATCCAACACCACCCCGCCAAACCCCACCAGAAAAAAAAAAAAAAAAAATCCGTTTGGAGAGCGCCAGAGGGGCTTTGCCGGTGGCGGTGGCGCGGAGAGGAGCCGCGGCCAGGGTCGGCGGTCGGGGCGCAGGCCAGGTAGGGAGCCCGCGCGGGGGGCGCGCGTCGCGGGGAGAGGGCCCCGCGAAAAGCCGCCGGCCCTCCACTCGGGCCGCGGGGCCGGGCTCTGCCCGCCGGGGACCCGCTGCTTTGTTCCCGGCGCTCGGAGCGCGTTCCAAGGGCATTTTTCTCTGGGAAAAGGGAGCCGGAATTGTGGGCTGCAGGCGTCTACGCGGGAGGGGAAGGGGGAGCTGAACAGAGTTGTTTCACCGTAATTCCCCAAATTCCACAAAACTGCTCACACGGACGCGGCGAATTACCGAATCCTCCGGCGAGTGTACAGGATTAAAGGACCAAGATATTGCTCTCCCTCCCCTCGCCCTACTCCTCATGTCCCCATATAGATACCGCGGCCCACCTCCTCAGGTGGGGGCAAGGGGCACTCCATTTCTGTAATGTACCCGAAAAACCTTCCTAGGTTATTCTTGAGGGCCCCGAACCTGGAAACTCCCTGTTGATTATTAAATATTGGCTTCAATAATAACATCCAGGAGAGGCCCCTTCCAGGCCAAGCCAGCACGTTTGCTTCGAATCCATTACACCTGGGCCCCGGCAATTAGGAAATCTAATTATTCTCCTCATCACTCATTAATAAGAAAAATAGTCCCTGGGTCTTTGGTACCTATAAGGTTTTTGGGAGAGAGAGAGATTTGACTACATGAATCAATTCGCTTTTATTTTTCAAACTAACTTTTTTTTGCAAAGGAACATCTTTTTCCCCCCTCTGCGCACGTGGGCCCACGAACCAAAATTTGATAATAAAATAAAACTTAATAAGATATAACTCTTTTTCTTGAAAAAAAAAAATCTTTTCACGTTGAGACTGAGCAGCGTTCAAGCCTGGCTCCGCGCGGCTGGGTCTTAGCGCCGACGGATTCCCCGCGCCCTGATTGGGTGCCAACTCCCCGCAGCCGCGGAGCCATTGGTGCAAAGTTCCCGGAGGGGGCGTGGCCGGAGGAAAGTAAAAACTCGCTTTCAGCAAGAAGACTTTTGAAACTTTTCCCAATCCCTAAAAGGGACTTTACTTCTTTTTTCCGGGCTCGGCGGCAGGGCAGCCCGTCTGGACCCCGGCTCGCTGACCCCCAGGGCTACCGGTTTGCCGGGAGGCTCCGAGAGCCGCCGTACTCCTCCTGGCACCGACCAAGGGGCCAGCCTCGGTCCGCTGCGCGCGCGGCGTCCCCGCTGGGTCCCCAGCCGCCCGCCGGAGCTGCCACCCGCCGGGTCCCGAGAGCCAGCGAGCGAGCGAGGGAGCCAGCGAGCAGGGGCCGGCGCTGAGCTCGCCCGGGTCGCGCCCTCCAGGATGCTGATCCCTCCGGTCCGCTGAAGCGAGCGCGCCCCTTCTCCGTCCGAAGGCGGGAGCCAAGCGCCGGCGCCTCCTCCAACCTCGTCCCCGAGGCTTCCAAGCACCCGGGGCTCCCCCCGCCCGGCCGGCTCCCTCCCTCTCTCGCTCTCTCACTCCCGCTCGCTCTCTCGCTCTCGCAGGTCCTTCCTCGCGGTCCGTGCGCTCAGCACAGGCGGCGGCGAGCCTGTCTCGGACGCAGCATGCAGGCGCGCTACTCCGTGTCCGACCCCAACGCGCTGGGAGTGGTGCCCTACTTGAGCGAGCAGAATTACTACCGGGCGGCGGCGGCGGCGGGCGGCTACGGCGGCATGGCCAGCCCCATGGGCGTCTACTCGGGCCACCCGGAGCAGTACGGCGGCGCGGGCATGGGCCGCTCCTATGCGCCCTACCACCCCCACCACCACCACCAGCCCGCGGCGCCCAAGGACCTGGTGAAGCCGCCCTACAGCTACATCGCGCTCATCACCATGGCGATCCAGAACGCGCCCGAGAAGAAGATCACCCTGAACGGCATCTACCAGTTCATCATGGACCGCTTCCCCTTCTACCGGGAGAACAAGCAGGGCTGGCAGAACAGCATCCGCCACAACCTGTCGCTCAACGAGTGCTTCGTCAAGGTGCCCCGCGACGACAAGAAGCCCGGCAAGGGCAGCTACTGGACCCTGGACCCAGACTCCTACAACATGTTCGAGAATGGCAGCTTCCTGCGGCGCCGGCGGCGCTTCAAGAAGAAGGACGTGCCCAAGGAGAAGGAGGAGCGGGCCCACCTCAAGGAGCCGCCCCCGACGGCGGCGGCGGCCAAGGGCGCCCCGGCCGGCCCCCCGGGGCTGGCGGACGCCCCCAAGGAGGCCGAGAAGAAGGTGGTGGTGGTGATCAAGAGCGAGGCGGCGTCGCCCGCCCTGCCGGTCATCACCAAGGTGGAGACCCTGAGCCCCGAGAGCGCGCTGCAGGGCAGCCCGCGCAGCGCGGCCTCCACGCCCGCCGGCTCCCCCGACGACGGCTCGCTGCCCGAGCACCACGCGGGCGCGCAGCCGCCCAACGGGCTGCCGGGCTTCAGCGTGGAGAACATCATGACGCTGCGAACGTCGCCGCCGGGCGGCGAGCTGAGCCCGGCTGCGGCGGGGCGCGCGGGCCTGGTGGTGCCGCCGCTGGCGCTGCCCTACGCGGCCGCCGCGCCGCCCGCTGCCTACGGGCAGCCGTGCGCGCAGGGCCTGGAAGCGGGCGCGGCCGGCGGCTACCAGTGCAGCATGCGCGCCATGAGCCTGTACACGGGCGCCGAGCGGCCCGCGCACATGTGCGTGCCGCCCGCGTTGGACGAGGCCCTCTCGGACCACCCGGGCGGCCCCACGTCGCCCCTGAGTGCCCTCAACCTCGCCGCTGCGGGCCAGGAGGGCGCGCTGGCCGCCGCGGGCCACCACCACCCGCACCACGGCCACCACCACCCGCAGGCGCCGCCGCCCCCGCCGGCCCCCCAGCCGCCCCAGTCGGCGCCGCCGCAACCCGCAGCCGCCGCGGTGCAGGCGGCCTCCTGGTATCTCAACCACAGCGGGGACCTGAACCACCTTCCCGGCCACACGTTCGCGGCCCAGCAGCAGACTTTCCCCAACGTCCGGGAGATGTTCAACTCCCACCGGCTGGGGATCGAGAACTCCAGTCTCGGGGAACCCCAGGTGAGCGGGAACGCCAGCTGTCAGCTGCCCTACAGATCCACGCCATCCCTGTACCGCCACGCCGCCCCCTACTCCTACGACTGCACCAAATACTGACCCTCTCGGACAGTCCTGGCTTCGCCTCGCAGACCTGACCCTCTCGAACAGTCCAGCCTTGCAGAGACGCAGAAAAGAACCCAAACGCGACCGCCAGCTTTTTTTCTCAGACCCGGGAGCAGAGCGGGAAGCTGCAGGTAACTTACATTCGCCGCCCCGTTTCTGAGGTTCTTGCGAAGCGCCCTCCCCGGTGAAGGGACATAGCCCAACGAAATGAATATTAAAATCCCCCTCCCCTACCAGGATGGCTGTGCTCTTGGCTCCACTGGGGGAGGTTTCCAAAATTAAATTATGGACCAAATCCCATAGCGACCCAGTAAATGACTCTCTGTAGAGACTTCCATAGGCTTATGGGGATCTCTATAGATTTGTGTATGTGCTGTGTGTAATTTTAAATTTCTCTAACTGTGCTGTACAAACGTGTGGATTTGTAATCAGGCTATTTTTGTTGTTGTTGTTGTTGTTGTTGTTGTTCAGAGCCATTAATATAATATTTAAAGTTGAGTTCACTGGATAATTTTCATCTTGCCCAGCCATTCTAACTGCCAAGTCGAAAATTCATAAAACCTTATGTGGGGTTTCCCCCTTGGACAATTACCAGATATAATTCTTTCCCCAGTTGTAGATCTTTTGCAAAACAAGAACATAATTTATTTTTTTGTTGCTGTTGGCCTAAAAAAGAAGTCAAGTATCTGATACTTTTTATTTACAAAGTGTGATGGTTTTGTATAGTAGATTTCTCCTTGAGCATTCCTAAAAGAAAAGAAAAAAAAAACCTTAAAAAATTTAACGTCACCTGTGTCTGTCTTACATGGTCTTCATTGTTGTACGTACCTTAAAATAAACCCATGTTGTTTTTCTGCCCCCAACACAGTGTGTTTGTGTTCTCGCATTTAAAACAAAGTCTCGGTGGGTTTGCAAATCCACCTGCATAGGTTATTTCTGTTACACAGGCGGGTAAGTGTGTAGACAGACATATCTAGGTGATCACAGAACAAGGGGGATCCTTCCCTCTTGTCGTCTTCATAATTGAAAAGGCTTTCTATTAATTTGGAATTTCAACATGGTTGAGGCCGACCAGACCAGGGACGGTCCCTCTTAGACGCCACCGCCAGAAGGACTGCTTGCTGGAATGTCATTTGCTGTCATGCATTTTGCTAAAGGCAGAAAAACAGACCAATTGTCCAGACATGCAGTGCCATTCCACGTGAATGCCCACCCTTCCCCGATTTAGGTGGGGAAGGAGAAGCGTCTTCTGTTAGCAAACTGCAAGCCAGGAGGAGTCCAGCTTCGCCTGGATTTCCTAAAATGCGGGCTTAGGCACCCACTTCAGTGGTTTTTTGGAGAAGAGTTTGCACTGGGCCAGTGAACGACCAGAGGGAACTGAGTCCGTAGCGTTTAGTGACCATCCCAAAAATGGCCTGTTCAGAGGTGCATTTCAGACCTCTTCTTGATTTCCAAATCCTTACCCTATTGCAGTGAAAAATCATAAAGCTTCCTTGCTCTTCAAAAAACAATTTCCAGGGCTTGGGTTCTACATTTATCCACCTTTTCAGACTTTAAGTAACGAGGTTATTTCTCTTTTCGATGTTGATATCTCATATTTTTATTTTTAATAGCAATACAACTTTTGTGAGATGTGGCCAAAGGGGACACGGTTTTGTTATCGATTTCACTGGCCCAAACCCGCCAAATCCCCTGCTGGTCCGCCCCTGTGCCTGAATGTTGAGGCTGGAGCTCCAAATTGGGGGATGTTTTCCCATGCCAGCAGGTGAGCTGTGCCTCCCCCAGGGCCAAACTCCACGTGAAAGGGACATTATGAGCCAGGATAATTTCCCAAAAGGTGATTTTCCTGGATGCAGCGATGACGTGAGATATAACCTGGGTGCTGTATTGTTGTTTTAAACATGGCATTCTGTCTCTAGGTCGTGCTGAGATAGAATTAGGAAAAGTTTGGTCATAATAATTTCCCCCGTATATGTGACCCAGATTCTTTCAGTCTATGGCCCCAGAGATGGCATGTGGTTAAAACGCTGCCTTCTATTCCTTTTCATAATGTGCAGGGAGGGAGCCCCAGTGCTCCAGGCTTGCCTTGGGCAGGCCCCCAGGCCACAGTGCTTTGGACTAGCTAGCTACGGGGTGGGAAGAGGTGTGTGTGTGTGTGTGTGTGTGTGTGTGTGTGTGTGTGTGAGGGAGGGAGGGAGAGAGAGAGAGAGAGAGAGAGAGAGAGAGAGAGAGAGAGAGAGACCCCTCTCTGAGCTGCAGAGAAAGAGGCAGCCCGGCTCCTTGCCCAGCTCTGGCAGGCTGGTTTCGCTGGTTTCGTTTTGCTCCTGTTTCTTTTATGCTGTTGCCGCGGGAGAAGCCAGAGTATTCTAGCTGGCTTTCTCCCTTCCCAGGTGTTTCAAAGAGTCCTCCCAAAAGATTACCCTCATCTTAAGTTTTGGCAATCAGAGCAGCTCTGAGAGACACGCAGAGAATACAAGGCAGAGAAAGGGGATGGGGTTAGGCGAGAGACCCAGCTCAGCCTCTATATGCCCTGGATCTTCTACCTTCAGGAAAGCATCTGAAGTCCCCATTGTGGGGATAGCTCTCCAGAAGGTTTCCCCCAATTGGGTGCACGACATAGTGAGGGGCTCCTCATTCCCCTGGGACCATGGGCAACTTGGGGGATCGCATTTCGTGTGGAGGGCTGGGGATCCGAGGGTCACCTGGGGATCCCTCAGTCGGAAGTCCTAGGAGCCAAGCTAGGTGTAGGTGCCAGAAGGCTGGCCCATGTGCTGGGCGCTGAGCTCAGAGCTGGCTCAGCTCAGCCCTTAAGCCCCGATGTGGACCCGGGGCCTCGGGGAGCCTGTTTCTCCTGGGCTGGCGGAATAGGAAGATCCCAGAGCAGGAGCAGGACACCTTGAGCAGCAGGTATCCAGGCACCAGCAGGACTGCCTTTTGGTGACTTTCCAGCTCCCTGCACGTCTACTGCCCATGCACACAGACTGAGTGCTGGGCCCGCAGGTTGTCTGCTTCTCAGATCCACTTGCTGCCCCTTCCTTCAGCCAGTCAGTCCTCGGTCCTCCCAAGGCCCCGGGCCTGTCCGGGAAGGGGGAAGGAAATACAGGGTGGAAGGGCCTGAAAGTCTGTGCAGGCTGGTAGGCCTCAGGGCCTGGTGGCTCTGTGGTTCACCAGAACGCAGTCTGCATAAAGCCATGCTGGCAATTGTGTTCCTTCGTCACCTAATAAGATACAGTCCTGCAGGTCTCAAAGATACTGCGGATAACAAGGAAGCAACCCCAAGACCATGGCAGAAACCATTTCCCTGGAAGTTGACCCTGTGTCTCTCACTGGACCAAGTCTCTGAGCAGTTTAGACAGACATGGGCAGCCTGGAGAGACCCCGAGGCCTCTGAGCACCCCGATCGCTCCCAGGTCCAGAGAAGCGGCAGCTGGAGAAGCCTCTGCTTCGCAAGTAAGACGTGGAGAGATGCCTAACCTCACCTCTCAGGGAGGAAGGGCTGCTGGTGTGCCACCACCGCCCTCCTGACCTCTCTCCAAGGCCAGACTGGGGTGTATGGCTGGCTGGACCTCCTTGCCCTGGTTCAAACATAACCAAAATCAGTGTTGACATCCATCCTGGAAGCAGGAGCGCTGGGCTAGGAACCAGAAGGCCACATCTCGCCGCTGTGTGAAGAGGCGGCTCCACCTTGGCCTGGGTCTGCTCCTCTGTAGCCTGACCAGGTGAGTGCCAGGGCATCGGGGCAGCCCGCACTTTCCCTCCCCGCCGCTGAGGCTCCTGCCCTGGGTCCTTCGTTATCCCCTCTTCCCTTCCCTATCAGCAAGAAGTGAAGATCCCATGTGGAAGGGAAGAAAACACAGGGTCCTGGGAACTTAAGCATTTGGCTCGTAAATCTTTCGGGGTCCATCTCCTCCTCTCCACCCCAAGACTGCCTGGGGGTCACCTCCGGGCCTGGGAGAGGCTTGTGAGCAGCACTCAAAGCACAGAGAGCAGAGTTCCCAGGTCCCCCTTGGAGAAAACAAGCTGTGGTGGCTGAGCACTTGCCTCCTCCAGCTCCCATCCCAAATCCGAAAATAAAACTGGGCCCTCCTGGGCAAGGTTGGCCCGATGAGAACTTACCCAGAAAAGACACCTTGATTAATGCACAGAACTGTGTATCTTGAGAATGTGCTGGGTCTCAGAGCCTGTGCCTGGCACCCTGTGGGATGTGTGTCGGGCTCTCCCCTGGGCAACACAATGGTGGCTATTGGTGAGGTGGAAACGGACAAGTAGAGAGCTGAGGGTTTACGGCTTTTTTTTTTTTTTTTAATATATTTTATTGATTTTTCACAGAGAGGAGAGAGAGAGAGTAGAACATCGATAGAGAAATCATCGATCAGCTGCCTCTTGCACACCCCCTACTGGGGATGTGCCCGCGACCAAGGTGCATGCCCTTGACCGGAATCGAACCCGGGACCTTTTAGTCCGCAGGCGGACGCTCTATCCACTGAGCCAAACTGGTCCCAGCAAGGGTTTACGGCTTTGTGTCAGCCAGGCCAGGGGCGCCTGGGGGCTGGACTCCAGGTGAGCAGGACACGCTGGGTCGGAGCCACCAGTGACTTCCTGCACCACATACTTGGAATGCTTTCCCAAACTTTGAGAAGCATTCCCTGCCTGCCTGTTTCTTGCGTGGCCTCAGCTCACCAAGGCGTTTGCAATGTTTGCTTTCTGACATAGGCATGTGAGGAAGGGGGTGGAATGCTTTAGGGCGCTTGGAAGGCTGGGCAGCCACAGTCAGGGACGGCCACTGAGCCTGGGAAGACTCCACCGCCTGGACTTGTAGGAGCCTTTCTCTCACTTTTGCAAGATGCCTGCTGTGCAGCAAAGGCAGAGGGGCACAGCTGGCGGAGAGTTAGGTTTCCGAATGTGTCTCCCCGGTGTGATGGTTTTCCTAGCATCAGGCTTATGGGGACTTCATCCTGGGGCTGTGAGGCTGTGAAAAGCTGAAGTGGAGGGCAGGCGGTGGGTTGACAGATTGATGGGCCTGCTGGCATTGCAAGTCCCTGAAGGGAACGGAGTTGGGGAGCATGGGAGGGCAGTTCCTGGCCTCTTGAGCCTGGACTATAGCTTTGTGCTCAATCTATGGCCACCCAGGTTGGGAGGTCATGAAGGCCAGAGACTCCTCTGACCACAGACTCAGTAGCCCTTGGGCCTGGGCCTTCCCTTTCCCAGAAGCCCCTCTGGTTCTCCCTGCCTTCATGTTATTCTTGCAGGCAGGCTCCCCAGCGGAGCCTTGCTCTCTGAGCTGAGTCCACAGGCACCAGCTCAGGCCCTCTGCACAGGCCAGTGGGGGGTTCATGTGACCTCGGGTGGGCATACCACCTCTAGCTCTCTGGGCTCGTTTCTCAACTGGAAAACCATGGGGTCCTCAAATAAGGCTGTTGTGAAGATTAATGGATCCAACACAGAACATGAAAGTGCTTCAATAGGGCCCAGCCCGTAGTAAGGACATACTGTTAGATGTTAGGATTTGCCTGGAAACAGAAGAGAACAGCTTCTGTGGTCTCAATTAGCTGTACGTCTCAGGGTAAACTGCTTGGTTAGGGCAGTGTGTGCCCTAACTGCCCCTTTTTAGACCCTTTAAATCCTTTGGGGGAACAAAGTGAGCTCTAAAGGATAAATAATTAGGAAAATCTCATCCTGCTCTGTGGGTTTCACTCAGTATTAGCTGAAAGCTAAGGGTTATCTCAGTTCCGACCCCCTACCCCCATTGCTGAGAAGCGCAAAGACCCGGCTCTCCAGTCTTTTCAATGTGGGAGAGGAGGAGGGCAGGGCTGGGGGGAGCTGGGGCTTCTGGGTTTAGTAGGATAAAAGTGAGGACGCTTGGTTTTCTGCTTATAATGCCCCAAATCTCCAGCTCTGGTGGCTCTGAGTACCACCCCTCTCTGGAGCTTACTCCAGGCACAGCCCTTGGAGCTTCTGTGGACACCTGAGGCTGTCAACCCTCAGAGAACCTACCTTCGGAGGAAAAAGTGTGAGTTCTGATCCCTGTTCTGCAGTTTACTACCTACAGTGTCTTGGGGGTGTTCTGTGCCCAGCCTCAGTTTTGTCATCTGTGAAATGGGTCAGCCCCCTGCCTTTCATAGATGCTGCAGGGCCCATAGCATCCACACACAACGGCTACTACCATGCACTTGTTTCCCTGGCTTTGCAAGGAGGACTTGGCCTCAAGTTCTGGGTCTGCAGAATGGGGACTGGGCAGGTTTCTGCTGTGAGGAATGAATGACCTAACATAAGGAAAGCACTCAGAGCAGTGCCAGCTTATATTAGCCTCCAGTACATTTTAGTTACTAATGCTATTTTTTTTTTATCATCCTCTTTTCCAATGTTTTCAGGGTGTCAGTGAGGTGACCTGGCTAAGTAAGTCCTGCATCTTTCCACCCTCACTCTTCTCAAATACATTGCACATATGGTAGAATCAATTACACACACACACACACACACACACACATACATATACATATACACTGTCTTTACACTTAGAAAACGAAGCACATATTTGGAGAGATAACACAGGTTGTCATTAACGTGACTGTTGGCTCTTTAATTTGCCAGCGGAGCAGAGGAAGGGTAGGTGACCCTGGTAGTGAGAGGGCAGTAGATTGGAGCTCCTCTCTCTCCTTGCGCCTCTTTGGTCCAGGTTGGCGGCTGGCCTCTGCCCAGCCTGCCCGAGGAGAAGGCTTTCTCCCCACAGGTGGGACCTGGGAAAGGTACTGTCTACCCTCAGCCCACGCTGACCCCGATTTCTGATTTCTGCCCTGGTCCTTCCGCAAACATCAGGCAGGGCATCTCGGGGCTTCCCTGCGGGCTGGCATTGGTGCTCGCACTGACTTCAGACATGAATGCTCTTCTCTGGGATCTGAAGGCTTAGGAATACACAGGGAACTTTCAGTATCTCCACCTGGCTTTCTGGGACTCCCCCTCTGCCCAGCTATCCTGCAATGCAAGCTCCGCTACCTCCCCTTCCCTCTCCCCCATTCCTCCTCTTCCCAGGTCCCTGCCCCTGGGTCTCGGCTCGCTGGGTCCTAACCCACAGAGCTTCCGCACGAGGGCGCATCCGCTCTCAGACTTGAAGGCTTCTGCCTTGCGCTCCCCGGAAATTCGCTCCAGCGCGGTCTTTCCTATCATCGCAGTTGCAAAAGCTCTTCACTTGGGAGGCCCGGATTCATCTCCGCGGGAGAGCCCTGATGGGGCGCCAGGCCCTAGGTCTATGGCTGCAAGCTCTGGGAAACATTGCAAACCTCAGCAAACACGCCGCAAGGCTGGAGATGCCTCTCCAGACCGCGACTAGAACTCGGATTTTTCTCCTCTCTCCGCCTTTACTATCAGTGACCCGCCCACCAGACGCGCGTGTCTCCGCCCGCGTCCGGCCCATGCCCAAATCGGGTGGTGTTTATTATTGTACGAATCCAAACTCGGATACGCCTTAGAGTTTAGAAGGAGCGTCGCTGCGGCGGCGTGCCTTTCTGGAGAGGCAGGGATGTGCGTGCCGGACTCCGGTGGCAGGGTAGCAGCTCCGTGAAGGGCTCAGAGTGCGGAGGTGGGGGTGGGCGTGTGGATGTCACCAGCTTATTTTTTGTTCTGCGTCTGTTAGAACGGGCGAGGCTTGAAGCCGAGCTGGACCCCAACTTGAACTCGCTGGGGGCGCGCTGATCTTGGAGAGGCTGCGGATGCCCCGGGACTGTGGGGCCCAGGGTTGCCAAAGCGCCCGGCATAGAGGCTCTTTTCTCCCACCAGGGTTTAAGGGAGTGTTCAGGTAAGAGCCAGAGATCCAGAGAGAGGACAGCGCCCCGCCCCCTGCAGGCAAGAGGGCCACCCTCAGGACCTAGGCCCGGGCGGGCGGGCCAGGTCCCAAAGGAAGGTTGCCCCGGGTTAGAAATGCCGCGCCCTGGATGGAGGCTGGGAGGTGTGTCCCAGGGCCTGGCCTGGCACTCCCTCAAGCCGCGCCTGCGCCCAAACCGGTCTTTCCACTCAGATCGCTGACTTCCTTTCGGTATTTCAAACGTATTCGCTCTCCCACGGGCTATCCGGAACCCCCAAACTTCTGGACTCCCCATTTTGGGGTGATGTTATCCTGAGCGCTCGAAACCAGCCTGCAGCAGCGTGTAGCCTCTCTGACAGCAGAAGTAGCAGCCCCCCCCCCCCCCCATTGCACCTCGAGTGCCTCTCTCCCCATCAGGGTGGGAGCCAGACCTGGGCAATTTCTATGCCTCCCTCCTTCTCAGCCCCCCCATTCCCCCCACACCCCCCTTACACACACTCCTCCATCTTCTCTTTGGGATCACGACCCATTCACTCAATGGAACGCCAATTCAGTCATCCGGAATGCTGGTGTTGTGTTTTTTTCCCCCCTTTAAAAGATATTCGTCAGAGATCATAAACAAGAACTAGTCACGCCACATGCCCCCCATTCCTTCAACGAGGTGGAGTGAGGGCAGGACACCTCCAAGGGAATCAGCATCATCCAGGGCTTTTGATTCAAACTCTGACGTGGCTAAAAATGTAAAATGCACTGGGGGGGGGGGGTGCAACTGAACCCCAGAGTGAGTGGGTGGGTTGGGGGAGACCAAGCAGGCTTTCCAAATGTTTAATGTAATCATGGGCCAGCTGCGTGCACTTGTAAAGTTGTTATAACCCCCTCCTTGTTATAAACAGGAAAGCGCAGAATATAAAGCAAGAGACCCGCATTCACAAATACCAGCTCTCCCCAGCCAGCTGCCAAATTCCCCTTTTATGGTCTTTCTTGCTTGCAACCTCAGTCCCATTAGAAAGACCTTTGCTTTTCCCCCTGAATTTTTCAATCCGGTGTATTTGGAAACTTTGGGCCAGGTAGCCCAAGCCCCATCCCTCTCCTTGGCACCAGAGGTGTTGTCGTCAGGAAAAGCTGGGCTCCAGGATCCTTTCCCCTGGCTGCCCCTGGGGTACTGGGTACTAGCACCTATCCAGGGCCATGACTTCCTTAGGGGCAAGCCCAGGACCTGCCCTAGGAGGTCTGCATCCTTTTCTCATCAGACTCCCAACCCTCTCTGATGGAGATGCCTCTCCCCACAACAGATGTCAAAGCTTTCAGAGATCTAGGAAGGCATCCCTTGAGACTGTGCCATCTCCACACCTCCTACTAAGCCTGGGAGAAGAAAAGACCTTTTGTGGAAGGCTGGGCTGTTGGGGGAGGGGGGGGGAAGAGGGCTCCCCCAGGTCAGCGGTAAAAACTCACCCCTGCGTTCCGCCCCCCATCCCACCTCTCCTTCCTGGCCCCGCAGACCCCGCTCCCAGGCACCCGGGCCCACATCCTGCCTTGCTGACTGTGTGTGCTCACAGCGTCAAGGGGTGGACGCGATATTTCAAACATCAGATCAGTGCGTTTATATATTGGGTGCCCGGAAATTTTTCCAAATAAACACAGCTTGATTCAACTTGGGTGGGCGGACTTATCAACAGACTAATTCTATAAACAAATGAAGGAATAGCCCCGACACCGATTGGCTGGTATCGAAAAGACACGTGGAGGGAAAAGCTCGGAGTTTTTTTCGGCAATGAAATTTTAATTAATGTGGGTGGGCTGAGAACACAACGACTGTTTATCATAGACAATTTATTTTCCAGCGCTAAGTCAACATATAATAGCAAACTTACAACAATTATTTAACATTTTCTAAAGCCATGAAGAAGGGACAGAGCGCGGAGCGGCCGGGGAGAGCGGCGGCGGAGCGGGAGGCAGACGCGCGGCGGCAGGCGCCCCGGGAGGGTCCTCGCGGCGCGGGGCGCGGTCCCTAAGCCGCAGGGGCTTCTGGCTTCGCGGGGAGCTCGGCCTCCGGCGCGCCCTCGCCATGAGCCACCTCTTCGGCCCCCGGCTGCCGGCCCTGGCGGCCTCGCCCATGCTCTATCTGTACGGCCCCGAGAGACCCGGGCTGCCTCTGGCCTTCGCCCCGGCGGCGGCCGCCCTGGCGGCCACGGGCCGGGGGGCAGAGCCCCCCCAGAAGCCTCCCTACAGCTACATCGCGCTCATCGCCATGGCGATCCAGGACGCGCCCGAGCAGAGGGTCACCCTGAACGGCATCTACCAGTTCATCATGGACCGCTTCCCTTTCTACCACGACAACCGGCAGGGCTGGCAGAACAGCATCCGCCACAACCTCTCGCTCAACGACTGCTTCGTCAAGGTGCCCCGCGAGAAGGGGCGGCCGGGCAAGGGCAGCTACTGGACGCTGGACCCCCGCTGCCTGGACATGTTCGAGAACGGCAACTACCGCCGCCGGAAGAGGAAGCCCAAGACGGGCGCCGCCGGGCCCCCGGAGGCCAAGCGGTCCCGCGCGGAGGAGACGCCGGAGCGCACTGCGGTGGCGCAGCCCGAGGCGGGGAGCGGGGAAGGGCGGCCCCGGCCCGCGACCCCCCGCCACGAGGGAGCGCCCTCGCGCTCCTGGCCCCTCCCGGAGGGCTCCCCGCCGGCGTCTCTCCTTGGTCCCCCCGGGCTCGAGCCCCCAGAGGTGGATGCGGGGGGCGGTGCCGTCCAGGTCGCGGCGGCGGCGGCGGCGGCGGCGGGCCAGCAGGCGCGCCCGGTGGATGGCCCGGGGACCCCCGCGCGCCCCGGCGCCTGCTGCAGCTCTCCGAGGAGCGCCGCCGACAAGCCCAAGAGCTTCAGCATAGAGAGCATCCTGGCCGGACGGCAGGGCCAGAAGCCGGCTGCAGGGGCCGAGCTCCTGGCGGGTGCCAAGCTGGATCCCGGCGGCGGCGGCTGTTTGGGGACCTCGCTTCTGGCCGCCTCCACTGGTCTCTGCCCGCCTTTCAACGCTTCCCTCATGCTGGACCCGCACGTCCAGGGCGGCTTTTACCAGCTCGGGATCCCCTTCCTCTCCTACTTCCCTCTGCAGCTCCCCGACACCCTGCTCCACTTCCAGTAAAAAGTGCACAGCGGAGCCGTTCTTCCCCCCATGTCTGCCCGGGTCTGGGCTTCTCCCGAGTCACCGGGGCTCCCACTGCTGGGGGAAGGAGACTGAAAAACCAGCAAAAAAGCATCTTTTCCTCGCGGAAGTGTGGATCCTGAGATGTGTTTCCAACTTATGCGCGCAGGTGTGTGTGTGTGTGTGTGTGTGTGTGTTGGGGGTGGGGAGGGGATGAGGGTGGAAGGAGGCGCTTCTGGGAAGGGATCTTCCCTGACCTGGACTTCTTCTTCGGATATTTAAACGATCCTGCCCGCTTGGAGTTTGGGCATCTCAGACCTCCTACTGTGGGATGAGAATTCCTTGACCTGAGGTCAGTTTGAAGGTGTGATCTTCGGCCACCCACCACATGTCCTGCGTGTCTGGGGCACACGAAGGCTCGGGCACCCCGAAGGCAGGACGGCAGGAGGAAGACTGGCCAGCTCCATTGTGGGTGTGACTCGGGCCTTGGCTCCCACAAGCCTGGGAGATAGGGGGGTGCCCACAGCTGGGGTGGTCCCTGAAGTCCAGTTGCGGGAACACCGAGGGTGACCCTGTTTTTCAGGTTCTTTGCCGGATCTAAGCCCTGGTGAGGATTCACAACCAATGTCCAGCTGGAAGATGAGAAACCACATTTTTATTTTAAATAGAGAAGCTTTCTGTATTTTTCTTTCTTTTTCTTTCTAGAGGAAAAGAAACATGTTCTATTCTTGGCTAAATACTTGATTCTTTTTACTATAACAATTGCCCTGTGAAAACATTTATATTAACAACTGTTAAGAAAGTGCACACTATATAATTTAGTCATTAGCCATTAGTCAAGACACAGGTTCTCCAAGGCACGTTACCAACCCTAGCAGTAGTCCTATCTCTTTACTTTTGTGTTTAAGGGATCAAAGATTTCAGAGGGGACCGGAAGTGTGTGAAGGGGAGGGAAGATGTCGCAGACAATGTAAGATTTTTCTACTTTCATGTTTTCTTCAAGATCTAGGTTTAATTGCTTTTACATTTCCAGAATTGGGTAGTGAAGGACTACTATCATCAAAAAAGTTGGGTGAAACAAACACATGGAAAGCAGGCAAAGGGAGAGATGGGTTAGGGGCTGGAGGAGTAAGGAAATCTGCTGGTTGCCACTCTGTGGACCCCAAAGAACATAAGGCATGTTGGGAGGATTCTTTGAGATATTCCCAGCCCATTGCATCCCAGTCTGCAACTAGACCCCATTCCTCCCTCCAACCCCTACCAAGCAGACCCGGAGCCAAAGCTAAATAAACCCATTATGGAGGTGACTGGAAGTCTGGTGGGAGGGGTGGGTTGCAAGGCAGGGGTCCGCAGCAAAGACCTAGTTAAGAAAATTGAGATTTTTAAAAAAAGAAAATTGAGATTTTTGCAGCCCAGTTTAAGCTCAGAACTTCTGGAAAATGCACCTAACCTCTGTGGTATCTCTCTTTGGGTTATCTTAAAGCAGATTTCCTGAACTTCCAAGTTACTTTAATTTTATCTAATGTGGAATAGGCACAGTAAGTCATAAGTTCTGGAGGTAGGCATCAATAGGGCTTCAAAATGACCTTTAAATAGTTTCTAGGACTTATATAAAAATGAACATGAACTTTACATTAAGAGAACCTTATTGGCTAATATGTTGGAAAGGAAATTTAGGAAAAGACTAATAATTTAATAATTTGTAGGCACAGAATTGACTTTCTGAGAATTCATCCTTAAAGCTATGTGCTACTGACTGACTCATCAATGTTTCCCTGATGGCATTCTACCCAGGCTGGTGGGAACATGTTAGTGAGCTGCAGAGTGCCCTTGACGTTAAGGACTTGGATGAGATTCTGTTGCTGAGATCTAGGCTTTACTGTGATTGATTTAAAATGTGGCAGGAGAGCTGCCATTGGCTAGTTTGTTACCCCAAAGTCTCAGCCTCTGCGAATAAAGTTGTTTTTTTACTAACCTCTCAGTGACTGGCTCGGTGGATTACTGGGGGGAACAAACAAACAATGTATTAAGAAAGAGGGGACTGGGATTACATGTGGGAGCTCTGTCAGCATCTCAGGGGCCTTAGCAGGAAACCCCAGGGCCATTGGATACTGCCTGCATGTCCAAAAGCATGGGATATGGCCGCTGTATAGGATATGTTTTATATATTTTTCTTTTTTGTGTTTGACTTTCTATCTTGTGTGTTTTGTTAATGTGTGATGGCTGTCTTCTGGAGAAGCCAACAATCTAATTCTGCCATTTAAAAAGGATGGTATTTTAGAGTTACAGTTCTAAAAATATAAACTTTTTTTTTTTTATGTCACAGAGGGGAAAAGGCAGAAATGTACATCTATTTTGTAAGGAGGTTTATGCACATATAAGAGACATTCTGTTACCTCATCCCTGCATTTATCTGGCTTAAGGGAAGCCAAGAGGAGTGGACAGTGGGGTCATTTTCTGTGGGTTCTATACAGTTTCATGAATATGTCTTCCTATTGAAGAGAAAGAGGACTTTGGGTCTTAGGAATCCAAATAGCTTTCCTAATGTTCCAGATATAACCATGGGCTTCAAATAATTAAAATACTTAGGGTAAAGGAGAAGTAGCTATCATTCTGAAGGTATGCCTCTGTGCTCTCATCTAAACAAGGGGTACAGGCTCTGTTTTCTGTAAATGACCTTTGGTTCAAGCCCTGATCTCTCTCAAACACAACACACACACACCCCACACACACAAGTTCACTTGTGATCAATATGGGAGATATGCAGGCATGTGCACAATGATAAATAAATAATGTGATTGTATGTATACATGCACATACAAGTGTTCATGTGTGTGTATGTATGTTTATGTTTGGTGTATACAGATGGTCAGACATTCATCTTTTTTGCATATAGGCGGGACAGATAGTCTCAAATCTAGTGCTGAATCCTTTAAAAGTAGCCCAAGTATTGATACTTTTGAAAATATTTTGTTTTTCTACATAGTTCAAGCCAGGAACAATTTAGTTTTTGCACTAGTGTAGTGAAAACTAAAAAAGACTTTATGAAAGAATCTTGGAAGATGTATCAACGTGAGACCTTCACTCCCATGGCTTTGCACAGGCCTTTGCTTTGTCTGGCCTTGCACATGTGCTGGCTCTTGTAGAGGCTTATGGCCTCCTGAGTCTCAAATGCCCCTTAAGGTTTTCTACAATAGAAATGGAAGGGGAGGTGTTTAGTCATTTTTGCATTGCAATCGAGCCTCTCTGAAAAGGAAGCCACATGTGTCTCCACCATTTCATGCAGAATGGTCAGCGTGTAACCATTTGTGGGTTAAAGAATTAGCCACACGTGATGATATTGTTACAGCTGGAGGCCAGGGCCTATCTGCCCAGACGTTGGCAGGCTAATGTTACCACCACAAGAGTGGGTGGCATTTCCAGGAACAAGTGGGAGTGAAAGCCAGGATTGGGTGGACTTCCCACATACATGGTGGCTGGAGTCTTGCTTCCATGAAGTGGGAGTTGTTTCATAGAGTCAAAAATACACAATATTAAGCAAATTTGCTTTTAAAATTAGAGAGCATCAGTTTTTTGGTTTTTTTTGAAAAGTATTTTTCATCCACATTTCAAGCAATTTTTGCAAAATGCCTGAATAGCCAAAGGGCAAGTTCTCTACTACCCTTGCCCTTATTCAGAGGTCCCACATTCAGGGCCCTCGGGGTTAGGCAGATACCCTGGATGTGTGTGGGAGCCTGCGGCGGGCAATAGGGGGGGGGGGTGGAATCTGGATGAACTGGGGGGTTTCTCTCTTCCAGTGGCGTCCAAATGCCAACTGCATTGGGCTCACTGGCCAGATGTGGATTCAAACCCAGGGCTACACCGTGGTGGGCGAATGAGATGGAGCACAAAATGTAGTTCTCTCCTGGGCGGTGGCTGGAGGAAGGGAGCAGAAGACCTGCCGTAAGTCTGGGAGGTACATAGTCAAGTCAGGTGTCTTTAATGGCCTTGGTAGTGAGGAGGGAGGGGAAAGGGAGGTGGTAGGGCAGAGATTTGGTCCCAAAGTCCTTCTTCCATCAGGCTCGAGAACTAGGACTTTAGGAAGAAACAGAAACTCACTTAGATGGGCCACTGGGAAAGAGGAGGGTGAAGAGACTGAAGGAGGAAGGAGCGAGGAAGCTGGGAAGGTACCCAGCCTGGGGTGAGCACAGGGAAGAGGGGATGCAGCCAGTGCTGGCCCAGGTGGGAGCCAGAAGAAACACGCCCCTCTCCCACTCTCCTCATGTTCAGACCTCTGATTGGCTGAGCCCCTCTAGTAATCCACCTACCGGGAACCCAAATGATGCAGTCCATAGGGGTCAGCCTGCGGGGCCAGAGCAGGGGCTGAATGCACCTAGCAGGGTGGGGCAGACAGAGATGGCCAGTGCAGCCGAGGACTTTCCCCTGGGGCCAGTTGGTTGCAGCTTCCCTGACCACACCTTTGATAGCCAAGAGTCAAGACTGGACTCTCCCCGATAATACTGGGGGCCGTAGCTGGCTTTCTAGGTGATTGAATTCTCTCACCTGGCAACTTTCCAAGAGAAGGCGGTTCTAGACCCTAATCTGGGACCCTCTTAAGACACCAGGGTCTGGGCCTGGACTTAGCTCCCCAGGGCCTGTCCCCTGGCTGTAGAGACCCTGCCTTCACTGCTTTGAGCCGAGAGAAGTTGCTAAGGGCTGTGAATGGCTGTACATGGATTTGTCATCCGTTCGCTGAGTACCTAAAACAAAGTCATCCCTCACCGGGTGATGTCCTTGAACATGGCTGATGCTGTGGCCCCCTTCCCACATGTGAATCACACGCTGATGAGGGTGTCTGTCCCCATGCCCAGGTCCAGAGGAAGTAGGATTCGAATGAAGTGTCTCAGCCCTGGACAGGGTCTAGGTCAGGCCTCTTCCAAGGGTGGAGGGATGGCACCTGGTGTTCCCAAGGTTATGTCCTCAGGCAGCAGGGACTGCAAAGCATGACTCAGCTCCTATGATGTGCAGTGCGGAATGTAAATCTCAGCCTCTCCAGCATCCTGGCATCGCCATCTTCTCCAGGTAGCTGCTCTCCACCACCTCCTCTGCACTTTTCTAGGTCTCTTAGACACAACCCTGTCATTGGGGTCTTACTGATTTGTTACTAGGCAGCAATGTGAACCTCAGCTGAGTAA